TTGGTAAAAACAACTCTTTCTTCTTTGCTTGTTTTCATTAATATTTACTTATAATTGTTAAATTTGGGTGTGTGTGTGTGCGTGTTCAATAGTACTTTAATGTAGTTTCTAAATATATAAATTGCACATACATACTAATTCTAAACTTAATATTATAAAAAACTAAATTGTAAATACTTTCAGTCAAATCTCATTAACCGAACCTGACACATAAAATGGGACGGAGGGGAGGGAGTACATAATTTTGCGTGATTAAGTCAAAATAGGATTAGTCAATACATAAGTAATTAATAAATGTAAAATGTTAGCAAAGACCTTGTGGTCGATCGAAATGATTGTACTGTGGCTGATAGATACTAGATTGTAACAGAGTTTGTAGTACTAAAAAAAATAAATGTAAAAGGTTGTGTAACATAAGTTAACTGTTAGATGTTTTCAAAAAAAAAAAAAAAAAAAAGTGTTAACTGTTAGATCATTTAATAAAATATATAGCACAAAAATTGGTCTGATCTAACTATCTAAGTCCCGTTTGGGAAGACAGTTAGGGCACTCAAAATGGTCGTTTGGCAAAAGAGTGGTTGAAGCAATGGACACTTCGCACCACACTACTCTAATTGCTCTTGTTCAAGTTTTCACTGGAGGTAAAATGCTCCAATTAGAGTGGTACGGTTGAAATGTTTATGACAATTATGTCGATAATACTTTTTTTTTTTCCATGTATTTTTAGTAAATGTCCTTAACAATCATTTTTCATTTTAATCTCATTGTAAGTTGTAACTAATGTTTTTCTAAATATATAAACACTTGTTCTGCAGTTATAACTATTTTAACCACTACATCTCAGATTTTATCATTACCGATTTAATCTCTTCACTCTCCCAAACAAAACCTAAATTCGTTACTCTCAAGGGATATAACATTTTATTGAGAATTTCACATCACCTAAAAATGTGGGAGGAATGTGATTCTTGACCATAAAAGCAACAAAAAAATAAACTAAAAGCAAAGTTCCAGAATATTGCCATTAGTTTCACATTTCCTTGAACCAAACAATGAAATATGAAATTACCATATTCACATTCCTATGATAATATGACATAACTGGAATCAAACACCTTAACGTATATATCATTATTTTATTAAACTCTTTTGCTATTTGATTATTATGTACGCTTTTTTTTTTTTTTTTTTTTTTGGGGGGGGGGGGGGGGTATGACACCTCTATTTAATTAACCACGGTAGGTCAGTCATATAGTCAATTTATATTATGGACTAGGGTTCACATAACATTCTGAATCCTGAATCGAAACAACGAGGTACAAAATTCATGCTTTTAAAGTTTAGAATTTCATAACACAAGACACAAAAAATCACAACACAAGACACATACACACGTTATATATTTACTTATTTTTCATATTTGATTTTGGTACATAATTTGTGCTCATAGGTACAAAATTTCACACACACAAGACACAAAAATTCATAATATAAGACAATTATTAATTTGTTTCAGGTACATAATTCATACTTTTAAGATACAAAATTTCAAAACACAAAAATTCACAACATAAGATGTTGGTGATAATGAACCACAATCGATTTAATATCCCAAAAAATAATATTTATATATACACACACAAGTATATAAAATATTATTGGATATTTATCCGAAGTATATATATACACACAAATATATATAAACGGACCTAAAGGTTATATATACATGTATATCTACGAAAAAGATATACCAATATATATCAACCAAGAAGAAAATATAATCCTTAGATTATAGTTCCAAATCAACAAGAAAGAACGGATTTTTGCTTAGAGCATAATCCAAAAAACAAGAAAGAAGGAGAAGGAAGAAAGATTCGTACGAGTTAGGCAAAGTGCCTGTCTTTCCTTAAAACCTTATTTGCCACCTCCCAAAAGTGCTAGGAGCGTTGTGGCCTAGGTTACCCAGGATAAAACGTACAACGGTTCGACGTTTGAGCACCCAAACGAACGAACCCGGCGAACTAGAGCACGGGCAAAACACAGTAGCAAGAAAGAAGTAGGAGCAAAATTTTGAGAAGAAAAAGTGCTTATCTTTGTGTGTTGTGTACTCTCGTGTTCTTCCCTCACTTGTTGTCTCTCACTATACAGTTGAAAAGACCTCTACTCCCACTACATTCTTATATAGGAGGTTGGTACTTAATAGCATCGTCATGACACATTAACCAACATAAATTCAATTTAAAATTGAATTATAACGTTTGAAACGGTCGAATTTATTATCGAAATAATATCAACGGTCACGAACTTAATATCCGATTAATTCGTACCGACCATAACGACCAGTTTCAAAAATATCTGAGTGACCGAGAAGTCCGTACAAACTCGAAAGTTTAACAAATTGGGACCGGAAACCACACCCGAGTGGTCCGCAAGCACCGAAACGGTGCAGCACGAATCAATGCATATAGCATTGACTTGTGCTCAGCACGAAAGTAGCTCACACGAAAGGAGCTCAAAAGCTTAATTCACTAATTAAGCTTTCAATGTTTAATTGCATAACTTTCGTCCATGCAAGTTTTCGTCCATGCATAATGCATCATCCCAAATTTCCATAATTAAGCTTTCAAAGCTTATCAAATTTAAGTTGCACGTGATGTGCTGCCAGCACATGCATAGTGTTTTAATAATTTAAATACTAGCATGCCTGATTGGCACAACACGAAAGTGCTACAACGAAACATGAGTAGCACGAATCTAATGTTAATCTTGATTAGCATTAAGCTTAAATTTTGACTTCTCTCAAATAGGTTCACTTTGAGAATCAATTTCTCATTCACCTATTACCCATTTTGAGCGTACATTATATCAAATTCTTCGTCTCGCTACGAAGAACCCGAATCCACATTGACCCGACCCAAATCAGAAGTGGATCCCACATATATTTGTACCACAAAATAATCACTCAAAATATCATTTTAATGCTATTTTTCCAACATAAGACACATACACATGCATCAGGGTCCAAAGTGCACTGTAAACACGGGTTCATGGTATAAGGATGGCAACAAATATATATAACAAAAATTTCATTTTTAGATGATCATAAACTTTAGTTTTAAAAGAGAAAAATAGCATATTTTTAATCCGAAAAATATACACCTAGGTAGTTCTGATGAACCAAATTATGGACCCACCCAATTTCTGGTGGAGAAGCTTTAATTCATTTCTGATGTGTGTAACGCAGGATGGAGAACTTGTCAAAACCCTATTGATACAACGAATTAAATACGGATTCTATCAAATGAAAAAGACCCGCTTAATCAATGGGTTTAAATTTCCCTAATCCCTTTCAAGAAAAAAATAATTTGCCTAATCCATAGCTATTTTAATATATATACTTACTTATTATAGAGGATTGAGTTCATCTGAGAAGAAGTGAGGAATATAAATTAATACTATTCGTTCCTTTATACATCTCAAAGTGATGTGTATTCTTTATTTATATATATATATATATATATATATATATATATATATATATATATATATATATATATATATATATATATATATTACAAAAATGTCGCTGTTTTTTTATTATTTAAATTTATATAGATTTTTCAAAATAATATAATATTGTTCCAACAAATGATGTTGTTTTTTACCAAAGTAATACGGAGTTCTTTTTTCGATCTCCAAATATGAACTGTGTTGATTTTCTTCCAAATGATGCATTTTTTTTATTTAAACATATATTGTTTTCCATCAAAACAATATTATTTTTCTCCAAAATCAAGGTATGTGACCTAAGTTTTACCCATTGTGAGTAGACTTATTATTTTCCTATGATATTAATAATAAGTAATCATATAACCTTTTAAAAAAAACACTTATGAAGTTATGTTTCTTTAGAAGGTAGTATCTATTATATACTTTCTTAAACATTTTCAACCTAAAGAATCTAAACTCCACCACCGAGGTTCGAACCTTTGACCATCCATAACTGCGATATCATCACACTACATAGTAGTTGGCAATAATCATTTAACCTATCATTGCTCAAATCTATTAGTTTAGGTAGATGATAAATGACCATAATTGCAAGGTTAAATAATCAACTCAATATAGTGTCCCCAGCACTACAAGAAAATAGGAACAATGATCAAATAGGACACTGAACTATAGATTTTAGATCTATTTACAAAAAGACTAATGGCAGGCCAATTACATTACCTATTTACAAGGCAAAACTTGAGTTCGTGAAACAGATTTGATCAATATCAAATATAATATTCATACTAGAAAATGTAATACTAATAAGGAATAAAATGTTTACTTATATGGCCAGAAAAATGTAATACTTTTGATGAAAAATATAATACATTAACATCAAAATGTAATAGTATTACATTTGTCAAAGTATTACATTTTTCCTTATAAATAACAAACACTTTATTTCTAATTAGTATTATATTTTTCAGTATAAGTATTACATTTTTATATTGACCCAATCCGACCCAATCCAACCCGTACCAAAGAAAAGTATTTGAGACTGTCATACACAAGTGTGATATTAGAATGTTGTTCCTATGAAAATATCAAAATACTTGTATATAGATTTTTTCGTAAATAAATTTAATTTTTCTTTTTAAGGGTACCACATATAAAAGGTGCTGCATATTTGATTTAGAATAGGATTAGAGTATATTTCGTAATATTAATTTAAAATGAGTGCGTCATTAATCAAATCAAGAACTTGGTTGGTCCAGATCAGAACACCAAATACTTTGTCGATGAAGGAATTTTTCAACAAGGAGATGTGACACATTATCTCAAACGCATTATATTGTATTATTTATGGCCTTGCATTGTATTGCATTTAGGGTACGTAGATTTCTTCAATAAGTTCAATCATATCTTGAAACACCCAAGTCAACCCTAATGACTTTGACAAAGCCACGCACCTTCCTACCTCCCTCTTCACCGCCTATTTATATTGGCCTACAAAGCAGCAAGGCTTCTCAGAGCTGAGCTTCAAGAATCATACAAATCAAATTAAGCTTAATTAGCTTAAATATATATAAGAGTGATAATATATGGCGGACGCGGAGAACCAGAGCAGCAGCGTAATCACGAAGCAGGACGAGGAAGAGGACGATGATGTTCCAGTAATACTCCCAGGGTTTCGTTTCCATCCCACAGATGAAGAGCTGGTGGGGTTCTATCTCAGAAGGAAGGTGGAGAAAAGGGAGTTAAGCATGGAACTCATCAAACAGATCGATATCTATAAATATGATCCCTGGGATCTTCCAAGTATGTCGTCTTTTTCATCTCATATTTCATTCACCTCATAAGATGTTAAGAAAAAAAAAAAAAAAAAAGATTCTTTTGATAAAAAGGATAGAATAGACAAGAGATTAGGTATAATTCACATATACTTACGATCAAATTAAAGTGAGGTTCTTAGCTAGCTAGCTAGCTAGTAGTATAATACTATTTGGAGGGTTAATTAAATTAGATCTAGACAGTCATATATGATTGACTAAACAGATTGATCATACATCTTTGTAGCTAGATAACTATAGTTACCTTTCCCCAACACAGCTATGGCCATATATAGTTGTACGTGCAAGAAGAACAAATAACCATGGCCATCTTCTTCTTTAGAACAAAGTTTTTTTGAAAAAAATATATATATATTAGTTAAAATGATTAAAAATAAAAACAGTACATGCACATAGTATCTAATTATCTATGCAAGTAAGAATTATTATATGACTATTCTTTTTGTATAACCATGGCTATCTAAGAAGGATAGTTGCAGTTAATTATATATAGACAATCATCATTGATCAAGAGGACTATTTTTGTAGATAACCATGGTTACCTTTCTACAACACACCACTCAAACCATAGTTGTGCAAGAAGGACAACTGTGGCCTCTTTTTTTTTTTTTTTTTCTTTTCTGATCTATTTTAAATTTGAGTAAAGTTAAAGTGATTTAAAATTTAAAATAATATCACGGAGTCTATGTAACTAATAAGGATTATTACATGTAAACGTCATGTCATCAATAATTTGTAATAATAGGTAATTTACAAGTAAAAAAGGGTGGATGATACTATTTTTTTTTTGAAGTTCAATTCAAGTATTTATATGTAGTTTTTTTTTTTTTTTGTTCAGAATCTAATTAAATTGTTTTAAACAACTCAAAGATATGTTTGGTAATTATATATGTATAATTTACATTTGAAACGATATGAGAGATTCGAATTTTGAATGTTAGAAAAGGGGTTTTAGCTTAGGTTACGTTAAAACTGATTATCTAAAGCAATTGATGATAATTCATAATTGCCGCAAAATTTACTTGGTTCATTGGGCAGGCAACATGCTTAAATTATATTGTAGATCAGGATCTACCATGTGAATTGTAGTTCGTAGTTTAAATTATGTATATTCAGTTATAATTAAATGCACATAATAACTTAATGTACAAAATATGTTATTTGAAAATACATAATAACATGTTAATGGTAAATATTGTGAACTAAAGTTAACAAATGTTATACAATTAATTAAGCAGAGAGCAGTAATGTTGGAGACACAGAATGGTACTTCTTTTGCAAAAGGGGGAGGAAATACAGGAACAGCATCAGGCCTAATAGGGTCACAGGCTCCGGGTTCTGGAAAGCAACCGGCATCGATCGCCCCATCTACTCCTCCGCCCCCGCCGCCGGAGAAAATCACCGCCACTGCATTGGCCTGAAAAAGTCGCTGGTTTACTACCGTGGAAGTGCCGGGAAAGGCACTAAAACCGATTGGATGATGCACGAGTTCCGCCTTCCGGCCGACCATGACAAAAGCACCAAACACATCGCCGATATCCAAAGCATTGCTCAAGAAGCTGTACGTAATCAATCTTTACTACATGCATCTCTTATGCTTCTTAATTGTTTTCTCATTCCTTATTCATATATATCTTGTTTGATTACTCTCTTTAATATTTTCTTATAATTTATAAATTTTTTCCATATTTAATAAAAAATTTAATATATTTTTAAATATATGTACTTTTATCCCTTGAAGGTTGAGAGTTCAAAACTCTCTCTGTTATAACAAACATCAATATGACCAACTCATTGTCCCTTAATTCGGTCGATCTGGTGCAAACCAAGATTTCGTTTAGTTTCGGACTCATGTAGTTAGGGTTTATTCAAAATATTCCTAGATGAGTGACTGCAAGACTGCACGGGAAGCATTGTCCATACGGGACCTTGACACATACACACAAGTTTTGTTTATAAATACTAAACAAATTCTAGAGAGCATGAAAGTATTTGCAGTTAATTAATTTATGCTTATCACCTTAACTTTGTTCATGAACTATGTTTACAGGAAGTATGGACTCTGTGTAGAATATTGAAGCGCAGCGTGTCTCACAAACGTGAATGGAAAGAAGTATCTGCAAAGAGGAGTAATCACTATGCGAATGTCAACTCCACCACATACAATAATATCGAATCGTGTTGTGACGATCAGAAAAATAATTACATTATTAGCTTCAATGCTCCATTAATGGTAAATAATCACACAATTGCAACAAATAATAATAATAATAATAATAACGGGTGCCACCAACTACTAACAGCGCAGCTAAACCATGTAGTTTCACAGCCTAATCAATTTATTTCCTATTCGACCAACGCTAATGCCTACTCTAGCCCTGTAGTTGCAGCTCCAGATATTGATGAATTGCTGAAGCATGAAGACTGGGATGAGATTACACATTTTAGCTTCTTTACTGCTCCATATCCTGGTCATTAGATTAATGCATGTTTTATGTGTTTTAATTATTTTAAAACTTTGATACTAGAATAGATTCTATAGTAGAATTGAATAATCGATTTTAGTTGGTAGAGGATTAGTGATTACCACGATGTATTTTGATGGTGTATTTATGGTATTGACTGTTATATAAGTATATAAAGGAATAAACTTAATTTATACATTCGCTATCATATCATTAGTTATATATATATATATATATATATATATATATATATATATATATATAGTGGTAATAAACCTATATAATTATAAGCTATTGTTCTTAAGATTATATCATATGTATAACAAAGTTATTAATGCGAGTGTTTTTTAACATAGGTTTTGTTTGGCATGTGAGGGGTTAAAAAATTAGCAAAAAGTTGAAAAGTAATTGTAGCTACTTAGCTAAAATTAAAAGCTTTTAAAATAGCTGAGTAGCAGGAGGTATTAAATGATAAAAAAGACATACATATATCTATATACTAATGACAAATTGAAGATACATACATATATATATATATATATATATATATATATATATATATATATCATTAGACATCCCCTTATCTAATTTCTTGAAAACTAAAATAATGACTGAGGAATCTGATATTCAATTATAAGGAATTTGAGATTTTCAATTATGAAAATTCTAAAAAGTTTTGTAACTTGTATAGTTAAGTCTCATGTTCCCTATACGAGACTCGAGTTCCTAGCCTCCATTATTACTTTGATGTTTAAGAGGACATATGAGGGGATGTCTAATGATGCATATATATAAAAGAATTTTCATATGTTGTCAAAATATACAATTCTTGACTAAGTTATTGCAGAGTTTACAAAAGAATTTTTACATACCAAACATCTCAAGTTGCTCCCTTGATGATGATAGAGATTATACTCTCCCCCGTGTACCTTTGCACGTGCTCGATATTTGGGCAGGAGATCAAGAGGTCCCTTTCTTGAGTAAATTTGACAACGTTGTGCTTTACCCAACCCCCAACACTAGTTATAAGATACCTCGACATGTTGGTAAAGGGATCGTTCCACCGAGACAAGATTCTCGATCATATGTGATCGGGAATCCTTTCCCGTGCACCAAACCCTTATTATTGACATATGAATGCAACCCAATCGTCTTGACCAATCACTTGATAAAGCATATATATCAAGAATCTCATTGCACATGGACCTATTGGAGTTGCCTCCGCTACGGCCGGTGCGACACGTGGTTAGCATACCGAGCTGCGCTCCCAGCATGTGTCCCCTCCGGATGTCTAGCTGTCCATGCGGGCTTTGACCAGTTTTATTGTTTTAGTTAAAATGTAATTTTTTTTGAATTAAAAAAAAAATTACATTTTAAATAAAAGTAGTACACATCTAAAGTGAAATGATCACACTTAAGATTTATTCTATTGTAAAGTAAGACAGAATGTTCTCCAAAGCACCCCATAAAACCGTAATAAACATATTATTTCTTCTTTAGCTTTCAAAAAAATATTATTTCTTCTTTAATTTGGCTATAGGTGGATGGCGATATTGTCAACCTTTTCGGCCTAAAATTATTTTCACTGCATACTATACAAACGTACAAACCAGAAGCTTCTAAGATGGTCTTCCCCGAGGACACGACTTACTACATATGAGAGTATGAGACAAATTGGATCCAAGTTTCAGCCTTGATGGATGGCCAAAGTAAGTTTGTTTTCAATCAGTTTTTGTATTTTATGAATATATTGTTGGAATTTTTAGCAAAAATGACATTTTGAGTGATTATTTTGTGGTACAAATATATGTGGGATCCACTTCCGATTTGGGTCGGATCAAAGTGGATTCGGGTTCTTCGTAGTGAGACGGAGAATTTGATATAATGTACGCTCAAAATGGGTAATAGGTGAATGAGAAATTGATTCTCAAAGTGGACCTATTGGAGAGAAGTCAAAAACTTAAGTTTAAATGCTAATTAGAAATAAGCATTTTAATAACTTTCGTTGCACTGCACGAAAGTTGTAGAGCTTAAGTGTAATTAAGCTTTGGTTGCTTAATTAGTGAATTGGGATTTTTAGCACCTTTCATGCTATGCTTTCATGCTGGACGAAAGTGCATGCAAAATTGAAAGCTTAATTATAAGCTTTAGTTTCATGCTGAAAGTTGGAGTTGTGAGCTCCTTTCATGCTCTCCTTTCGTGAGCTACTTTCGTGCTGAGCACGAGTCAATGCTATATGCATTGATTCGTGCTGCACCGTTTCGGTGCGTGTGGACCACTCGGGTGTGGTTTTCGGTCCCAATTCGTTAAACCTTCGGGTTTGTACAGACTTCTCGGTCACTCAGATATTTTGAAACAGGTCGTTGTGGTCGGTACGAATTAATCGCGTATTTTACGATAATAATTACGACCGTTTCAAACGTTATTATCCAATTATTAAATTTTGAATTTATGTTGGTTAATGGCCATGAATATGCTTTAATTCCCTTCTCCTACAAATAGCTTGGTGGTTGGCAGAATGTTTTGCTGCGAGCTTTGAATCAATCAAAATTCTTTTGTTTTCTCTCAACTCTCATCTAGTTTACAAAAGAAAAGAAATTCTGCCAAACATCTTCCGTAAAACATCGGAGTGCTCAGCTTGTGTTCTAGTTCGCCGGGCTTTGGGTTGGAGTGCTCGAACGCCAAAGTCGTAGTCCGTTTTATCCTGGGAGACTGACGCCACAACGATCCTAGCACCCTCGGGAGGTGGCGAATCGGTTTTCAGGAGAGTGTGTGTACACGCGACTCGGGCTTCATCTTCTTCTTCTTCTTCTTCTTCACGTTGGGTTAAACCTCAGGTTAGAAACCCGTTCTTGCTTTTATTTTGTTCTTGGTTTCGGACCAAGTGGTGGGATTAATCTCGGATAGATTAAATCCCTGTACTAGTTTCGTACTAGTTGTGGTGGGATTAATTTCTTAGAAATTAAGTCCCGTGTTCTATTTTCGTACTAGTTGTGGTGGGATTATTTTGATAAAATAAATCCCTAGTTGGTTAATATATATACGAGGTATATATATGTAATTTTGGTTTCGTACCAAAATTGGTTGGAATTAATTTTGTACAAATTAAATTCCATCTTTCGGGACAAATATATATATTTATATATATTTTGTGTATCGATTTATTCACAATTTTCAACAATCTTAAAACCGATTATTTCTTGGTGATTAAATCGATGGATTCCACAAGTGGTGGAACTGTGAATGTTGCTCGTGGTGCACATTCGATTGGTCGGATCGGCAATGTAGTTGCACAATCCGAAACCCCGGTGAACTTTGGTTCGGAGACCGGTGGTGGCATCAAAGGATATATCCCTACGATGAAGGTACATGGGACGGTGCCTTGTGGATTGGTCGAAAGACCAAGGAAATTCACGGAGTTGAATTTCGAAGGGTTGCAACTTAAAATGTTGTACAACCTAATGATTCTCGGCATGTCATGGTTCTTGACCGAGATGGTTCCTAGTGGAAAGGAACACGAGTCTAACGCTCAACCTGTTAGCATAGTACGGATTTGGAAATATTTGGATTTCCTATGCCTAAACTATGTTTTGAACGGTTTGTGTGACTCGTTGTGGGAATCTTTGGACCTGAAGTATAAGAGTGATGACGCTAAGGCAAAAGTGTTTGTCGTTAGCCGATTACTTGAATACAAGATGGTAGATTCCGGGATCGTCCTAAGTCAAGTTGACGAAGGAATGATCGTGAGTGAAGCCTTTCAAGTGGAATCTGGTATCCATTTGTTGCCTTTGGGCAGAAAGGACTTCAAGAAGCAATTCCACGGAATATGCTTGAATGGCTTAACGGCCATAGTGGTATGTAACAGACGTGTTGCATGGTTGAAATCTCGTAAAGGACTTCGGTTCTAGATTTCAAGTATAGTCAATTTGTCAAAATTGGGATGGCTATATAATCGTGAGCGTCAAAGCTCAAGTGTATTGAATATTTTAAATAATATTCTTAATACGATTATATAAGCTTGATTCAACTAGTTGGAAAATTTGGTTGATATAATCTTGTTAATTGTGTGAAAATTAACTTGATTAAAGATACCAAATTGTACTAGTATGAAATTAATTTGTGATAAATGACAGAAGTGTTGGGACAACAAAATAAATCTTGAACCACCTAACTTGCGAGTAATGGTGTAATGATTTATAATTTGTCACTATTGTGGATTAAGACAAGGTTTTGTCTATTTTTGAAATGAAGGCAAGGGTTAATTACTAATTGGGCTATAAGCTCGGTGTAATAACCGTAATTAATAAGAACATTATTAATTGGTCTTGCCTGGTTGGGTCTTCGTGTTTGTGGCACGGTAGACAAGGTCATGGTAATTTTGAATCTATACGTAGATTAATTAGCATGGACCATATTCCAAATTTTATGATAAGCACAAATATGATATTTGTGATGTGACAAAACCACCGAGAAGTGAAGTGCACATCTCGGGTCTAAGAAGTGCTAGAAGCACCTCTAGGCCATGTGATCGAGAAGTAAACGTACATTTCGGTCATAGGCGAGTTATCGAGAAGTGGAGGTACATAACCTTCGGGTGACATCTTGGATGTACTTCTCGGAGTATCAACGATAGCACTCAATAGTGCTAAGTGAATTTTGCTTGAGAGCAAAAACGATGTCGTTGATAAATTTATTCTTTATAAGAATAAAGTGGAAAACCAACTTAATCGTGGAATTAAGGCGGTTAGAAACGATCGATGTGGTGAATATGAAACACCTATTGGTGATTTCTGCGCAAGCATTGGTATCGTACTCGAGCGTACGACACGGTATTCACTTCAATCGAATGTTGTTGCCGAACATAAATATCAAGACGTTGATAAGTTCGGGTCTACCTCAAAGTGTGTGGGGTGAGACAAGACTTTGGACAAGTAAGTACCTTTTAAATAAGGTTACCCACATGAAACTCGATAAGGCTTCTTATGGGTTATGGGTACGTAGGAAGCTTTCCTACCAATACCTGAAATGTAGGGGTGTCTTGCCAAAGGCGTTTTTTTGGTTCTTAGTACACGAGTCCTATGTTTTGGACGTACATAAGAACACCATAAATTGAATCAAGAAATTCATTGTTCTTGGAAGATGTGTTTTTGAAGGTTCAATAAAGGACCTAGCACGTTGAAAGGAACTTTTGGCGTAGCTATGGTTG